AACGACGGAGGGAAACAAGCGACGTAAGGTAGAGGCGGTCAATGCTGCGAAGGCCTCCCCTCTTTTTAAAGATAACCCGAAACGCTTCTACCAAATGCTATGGACTCGTCTGGTTATAACGAAGCTGCTATCTTAGGGCTTCTGCGAGGATGACAAGGTTCAGCATTTTGCTAAATGCAGTGGGTCACCTATTGGCAAACATCTACCCACGCGAAAGAGACTTCACCATTTGGATCTTGAAGTATATCACGCTACGAATGAGGGCTTCAGGAACGATCTAAGGAAGATCGAAGCTAGCTGCCCTTTGCCAACATTTTATCTGAACGCGGATCTCTGGACCTCGAAGTCCTCTAAAGACAAATGTGTCGGGATTCGAATCATCTTCGTGGATGCTCAATGGCGTATGAGAATTTCCATTCTCGCCATAAAGCAATTCTGTCCAGGCTCGGTGGAATGCAAGAGCTCCTGGTCATCAGAGGTCCTTCATTCATGGGTCATAGATGTTTTTGCAGAGTTCGGCCTTTTGCCCTCGAATATTGATGTGTCTACATCTGACGGAAATGGTGATATAAGACGCTTGCTATTAAAGCTCTTCAAGGCAGCTTTTTGGGAGTGGTGTGTGCCTCATCTGTCAAACTGCGCTCTACAAGAATTATAAGGTACAAACTTGGATCCAAGCAAGGTTGGGGATATAGAGTGCCGAGATACTCTGCAGAAGATGCATAGTGTCATCGAGCACTTGAACAAGTCGCCACAGGGGAAACAAGGATTTTATGGGCTCCAGGACGAGTTGATGAACACATTTTTAGCTGTCATCAGGCATGCCCCTCATCGTTTCTTAAGCCTCACAAAGTTATTCAGCGCTTCTTGGAGCTTTGGGATCCGATAGACAAGTACTACGATGAAAGGCCAAAGCTCTCCAACCCGATGTCGACTTTGAATCAGGAGTTGAGGCAACTCTATTCCCTCATTGCCCCGGTGGGAGCGCTGATGCAAGAAAATCGAGGTTGCAGCAAGCCCAGTGGTGCCCTCGCTCTACTTGGTCTTGTTGGTCTCTAGCTGAACACTATGTCTGCCGCAGCTCCTTTGCAAGTCATCCGACCTTCAGGAGACAAAAATGGTGAGAGGAAGGAGGACGCATTCTTTGTAGAACACCATATGCTGGAGGAGACTGTGCGGAGGACCGGGAGGTTGATGGAGAAGGCCTTCAAGAAGCGATTCTTTGTCCGCTACGATCCCGAGCTGTTTCCCGAGACTTTAACGAAGAAAGATAAAGCCAAATGGCCACATTCTTACGATTTTGAAATGGCTTGCGCTCTTACCCCAACCTGACGGAGCTAAACCTTTTTCAAAAATAATTAACAGCCTTTACGACGGAAGACTCTCGGAGCAACAACGGGCAAAGCTAGTTGAGGCAGTGAAGAAACCTGTCTGGGACAAGATAAGAGCAATGGCAATGAGAGCGGCTACGAAGCTATCGACCGCAGGTGGTGCAGATGTTCATCTTCTTGTTGCGTCAATGATGGATTTAAGGAGACGAACGATGGGAAACAATAACTGTCCGCCTTGACTGACCTTCTCACTCATCGTGCTCCATCCTCTTTGCTCCGCTCTTCTTTTTTCTTCCTTACTTTTCCATTCTTACTTCACATACACCTTACGACTACTTCTTCCGTTAGCAACAAGCAAACAACACGATCATCATAGACAAATAGTTGCTGATCATAAATGTGTACCTCAACACCACCTCTTTCTATGACCGACCCTATTAATTACCTCTTCTCTTCTTCTGCTGCTACTGCTACTTCATGGTGGTGTTGGATTATCTCGACGATCAATAAATAAGTAATAAAGCA